ACCTGCTTTCCTTTGCAAAGCTGATAGGAATCTATTTGGGGAGGGAGGAGTGCCTCCCGGTTTCAGGCCAAGAAATGTTCTCGGTTTGGCTAGCAGCAGAGCTAAGCTTGGAAGGAAATGCTAACGTCTTCAGAGCTATCCACCTAAGCTGAATGGTAAATGGGTATTGATGGTCTAACATAAGCTGTTAGTGGTAGTTTCCTGGGCAGGAGATATCTATGATTACCTGGAAACAAACAGCCCATCAGCAATCCAGAAGTGATGGGTTTGGTCTTGTGAACCGGTCTGTTGTAAAACGACTATATTGACGTTAGACATTTGAAAACATCTTTACTGTCTTAAACTAGTTCTGCCCACTTTGACAATGTTATCTGGGATTGTGTATATTCCATGCAAAGAAAAATTTGCTTTGACTATTTAGAAGACAGTCTGTGTTCCTTGAATGACACACATTCATCAGATGAGTCAGTGAATTAGTAGAGGCTTGATGGAAGAGAAATTTGAAATATGGGCCTTCCAAAATTTCAGGGATTGCAGAGACCTATTCAGAAATCTACTAATTAGAGCAGCAGTAGGACAAGGACTAAACAAAGGCAGGATTTGTGCTTTGGGAAAAGGGCACTGGTAACTGGGGGAAGGGAAGGCTATGCGAAGTGAGGCTAAAGCTTTGTGCTTTTGGGAGCGTTTGGAAAGTTACTATAGCATTGTATGGTACTGGAGGGATGATATGGAGTATATCTGATATATATAATATATAACAATATAAAATATATGTAATTTGAATATATATAATTTGAGTTCATGTTTCTTCTTTCTTTCTTTCTTCTTCTTTTTTTTTTTTTTAGAGAGGGAGAGAGAGAGAGGAGGGGAGGAGGGAGAGTGAGAATCTTAAGCGGGCTCCTCGCTGTGCGTGTGGGGCTCAATCTCACAACCCTGAGATGGTGACCTGAGCTGAAATCAAGAGTCAGATGCTTAACCGACTGAGCCCACCCAGGTGCCCCTTGAATTCGTGTTTTGGTTTTTTTTTTTAATGTTTAAAAAATTTTTATTTTTTAGAGAGAGAGCCAGGGGTGGGGAGGGGCAGAGAGAGAGACAGGGAGAGAGAGAATCTCAAGCAGGCTCTATGGTCAGCACAGAGCCCAAAGTGGGGCTTGATTCCACAACCCCAAGATCACAACCTGAGCTGAAGTCAAGAGTTGGTCACTCAACCAACTGAGCTACCCAGGCGCCCCTGAGTTCATGTTTTTTTGTTTTTGTTTTTTTAAAGATTTTATTTATTTGACAGAGAGAGATAAAAAGGGAATACAAGCATGGGGGAGCTGGAGAGGGAGAAGCAGGCTCCCCGCTGAGCAGGGAGCCGGATGTGGGGCTGGATCCCAGGACGCTGGGATCATGACCCCAGCAGAAGGCAGATGCTTAACGACCGAGCCATCCAGGCGCCCCTGAATTTGTGTTTCTTAAATTAAGTACACTGGTGTGCCCAGAGATCTGGCTAAACAGGTGTGTCTGAGTGCTTTTAATTCACGGAACAGTTTAAAAATAGCCACGTAAGAGAGTGTGTGGTGAGGAAGAGTGTGTTTGCATGTGTATATTTTTAGAGAATTCCCATGTGAAGGAAATAATGGTATCTAATTTTGAACGTGGTTTAATTGTTAAAAATCATGTACCAATAGAATAAGTCAAAACACATTCTACTTATTCAACCTGCTCCTACTTCATCTCTTGGGTAGAGTCTCGCCAGGCACCATGAAAAGACTAATTGTCATTGTTATCTGACCTATATTAAGTATCAAGTTGTTATGAATTCATACAAGATCCCAAAGTATAGATGTGTTGTCAGTGTCTGATTTATTCGTAAGTAGGAAAGAGGAAAATCAAGTTGCTTACTTTCACCAGAGCACTTACAAGGGGTCAGCTACGGGACTAGCACTTTATGTCCCATTGGAGTAGATGGAATTGTCATTTGATGTGATTTGAGGGCGATAGGAAGGCTCCCTACCCTGAAATATTTTCCCCACATGGCCTGAAAATATCCAGCACTCATCCCGAAGTATCATCAAGTAGAGCACTACTGGGGTTGGCTTTACAGTTTATCAAACACTTTTCTACAGATTAACTGTCCCGGAAGTAGAGCTGTCTTTCTATTCAGAAACAGATGCCTAATTACTTCACAATGGGGCTATTTTCCTTCAACCTTTCCTTTAACCCCTGCAGCTTAAAAGAATCTACCAGTTAATAAGGTGACTTCCCTCCTGTCAGCAGTGGGCCAGGTGAGACTGTTATTTTCAGATGGACAAAATGCTGTTGGAGAAAAGAAGGGACAGGGATATGAGGGAGCCAAAAATTTGATTCTGGCAAAGCAGGGTATTTGGAACTTTGTCATATTGGCAAGTTTTCTTTGGTTAATGCCCATTGTACTGTTTGCAGAGGCCAAGACGTTCTGGGGAGCAATAGTCCAGTGCTTCTCTTCCCCCTTAGATCCAGAAATTGATCACTTGTATCCTTTACAATCCCGTATGAGGCCACGTGACTATTCCTAATGCATCACCTGTGAACATGGAAAAGTTACCTCCAAACTGGAGGGAAACTGAACTTTGTTGACCTTATAACTCCCCCAACCTCCAAAAATATGTGAGAGGAAACTGCAGTTTAAATAATGTAATTAGGAATACTATAAAATTATATTTTGTGCAAGTACTGGTGGGCATTTATATGTACATACCTGATATGGGATTGTATAAACACATAATGTAGACCATAATTTATGGGCAATTCAAAGGATTTTTAAGGGTTATTTTGATTACACTTATATTTTTCTTTATGGGTAAAGTTTAGAACTTAACCCTGGAAAGATGTGACGCCTCGGCTCTTTGTTCTTCTTCACATCCTATCCTCCCTAAATCTAACTGATTTCACTCCAGATCCAACTGTCTGTCCGACACCCTCCTCAACATGCTCTTTGCCACCTTTTGGTTCAGGCTGTCACTTCTTGCCTAGACAGAAGTGTGCTCCCTAGTCAGCCTTCACTCATTTTGGCCAATCTCCTCAGCCAAGCCCTACATCCCTATCACATTCAGTCTTGGACATTCTCTTTTGTGATTGTGCCTTCATATATTTTACCACAGCTTGGAAAGCCTTTCCATCTTCCTCTGGACGACTCTTACCCATAAGCCAAGGCCCGGTTCTGACTTTATCCCTCAGTGAATCCTTTCTTGGCCTCACCAGTCTGAGAAGTATTGTTCATTACATAATTTGGATACCTTGGCCCACCAAGCCCATCTCTGTCTGTACCTCATCGACTTCATCATTGTCTGTACCATATTCCTGTGCCTTGTGCCCCATTGGTCCCTTCCCTGTTCCCCCAAGGGAAAAAACCCACAGTAGAGACTGGTTTTCAGTTCCTGCAACAGGGCAGGCTTCTTACCGTACAAGGCTTTCCTCTGAAATGCTTTTCCTTTTATTCAAGTCTTCCACTTACCCCACAACCTGGTCAATTTCTTCTAAAACTTCGGTTCTTACTCAGTCACCTATCCTATATTATATATCTGGCCAGTTAAATACCTTCTTGGCATCAGGCACCTTTTTCTTTCTTTTGTACATTTTTCACAGTGGTAGTTATATATTTGTGAGGTTGATTAATGTTTGTGTACCCCATTGGATACTCTGAAAACAGGACCAGTGTCTCTAGCACTGTGCCTGGCATTGGTGAAATGAATGAAGAATAAATAAGTGAATGTCTCCCTGACTAGGTAAGCTCCATGCATATCCAAGCACAGTGTATGACAGAACATATTAGAATTGCTATGTAGGTATTTATTGTCGAAGGAGTGAATGATATAACACCAATAATAACTGTACATAAGTCACCCAAGTTCATCTGACTTGGGCTTTGGGGACCAGCATATTAGTAGTGTATTGGTAGTACAGCTTGCAGCTAAGAACAAGTGTGGTCTTTTACTTTCCCAACCTCAAGAAACGCTGGCTCTGCTAATGGTTGCAGAGAAAGACAGCAGGCACAATAAGCAAAATATTAGGCTGAGGAGTAGAGGTATCAACACACAACACTCTACACATTTGTAGAGAAGCCAGAAATTAGCAGCTTGCATCAGTATCTAAAATAACTTTGTGTCTTTGGCTTTGGAGCTCAAACTTTGAGTGTGTTCTCAGTGGAGTGCTTACATTAAAAACTACCAGCCAAAAAGCTTTCCTATTGGTGAGGAGTTTGGAGATAATGGAAGGACTACTCCCTGGATGGTTTCTAGTATCTCATGTAAAAAGTACCTTTTAAGTTTTTACATAGAATAGTATTTTTATGGAGGCTCTTACATGGAAATCCAGTTTGTAAATGTTCTCAGACGCTGGCATTTGCTCAGATATATACGTTGTACCCATCAAAGAACTGTGAACGGTATTTTCCTTTTATTTTCTATTTAAAAAGAAACGCAGAGTCCCACGAGTGAGACTTCCAGATGAGTGAGGACACGGGGGGCAAAGGCGTGCTTTCCATACTACCTGTTTGTCAGCTAAAATAAGCCTTTGAAACTCGTCCCGCTTTCGCTGCAGCGCGGCTCAAACCTAAGGGAGGGGCTTGGGCTTCTCATTTAGGGGTGGGGTCCCGGTCGGTGGCCATCGCAGCCGGTTTCTTTCCCTTTGGGAAAGAGTGGAGTTAGGAAGGGCCGGCGGAGGCGCTGTGCGGAACCAGCAAACCAGACCCGACGGGCCGTAAATAGGAGGCGAGGGCGCAGGACGACCAGTCGGGCGGCGGAACAAAGCCCCGCGGGGGGCGCGCGACCAGAGTTCCGCGACGCGGCAGGCAAGCACCAGCCTCTCCCCGGCAGGGACAGTTGCAGGCAAGAACGTGACGTGTAGTCACAGCAACGGTAACCGAAGAGCCGAAGCGCCAACCGGCCCCCTCGAACACCCGCACCGCGATGCCCGCGCGGGTCGCCGCCGGCCGGGCGAGCGCCTCTGCGCTTGCGCGCCCGCGGGAAGCCCCGCCCCCTCCGGGCTGCCGGCGCGCGGGGCCGCGCCTCCTCATGGCGGCCGCCGCAGTGTGTGGTATTTAGCGGGGGCGCGCGGCGGGCTCGAGGACGCGCGAAACGGCGGCAGCGGCGGCGGCGGCCAGGGGGGAGCCGGGGCGGCCGTTGCGGGGCGCGCTCTCGAGCGGTGGCGGCGGCGGCCCAGGGTGTCCCGTCGGTGCCGGCACAGGGAAGAGGCGGTGGCGCTGCCCGCGGTGGCGGGGGTTGGCGGCGGCGACGGAGCGCGTTTGAGCCAGGACCGGGGTCCGAGGCGCGCTCTCCGCCTACAGGTAAGTGGGGCCCGGCCTGGAGGGAGGAGCCGGCCGCGAGGGGCTCTCCGGGAGGAGGACGCCCAGGCCCGGTAATGGCGGCGGGCGGGAAGGGCGGTGGGGCCGGGGTGCGCCGCCCGGGCCGGGGCGCGGGCAGCCCCCGGCGCCGGGCGCCTTTGTCTCGGCCCGAGCCCGGCCGCCCGGCCGAGCGCCGCCCCCCGCCCCTCCCCTCCCCTCTTGGGCCCTGCCCGCCGCCGCGAGCCGGCTCGCCCCCGCCCCCGGCGCCCCGGGCCCGGCAGGCCCGCGGCGGGGGTCGGCCCTGCGCGCCCGGGCGAGGGCGGGGGAGGGCCTCCCGGCCGCCCGGCCCGGCCCCCGCGCGCCCGGGAGGCGGGCCCGGCCGAGGGAGGCGTCGGGCGCTCCCGGCGCCCGGGTGCCGGCCTTTGTTGTGAAGGGTCCCGGGGTGTGCGGCCAACATGGCGGAGGTCAGCTGAGTGCGGGCAGTGGCCGGCTCTTCGCTCCGGCCCCTCCCCGCGCCGGCCGGGGCGACTTGGCCGTCCTTGGCCTCCTCTGCCTGCCCGCGACCCCGGGAGCGGCTGTCCCCGATGGCGCTGCGTTCATGCTCCCGCTCCCGGCCTGAGCCTTCATTGTGCGGTGGGAAGAATACAGCCTCCTCCCTTGTTTATGTCGTTAGAGAGAAGATCGCGTGAACGGCTTGCCAGGGAAGCCCCAGCTTTTTATTGTAAACCTTGGTTTTCCTAGGCTTCATTTGTCGGGTAGTTTGGGGGCCTTTCTCGAGTCTCTGAGATTATAACTTAGGAATGTGAGTAACCTGGGCCACAGCGTTGCGTAGGTTTTTCTTTCCCCATTCCTGGAAAGATTCAGAATTTGTTTGCTCTGACATCCAGAGAAGTCCCAGTTTGTGTGTTCGGAAAATCACATTGTATAGCTGATTTCTCAAAGTCACAGAAGCCGTGAGCCTGGATGTAGGGCAGCGATCGGACTGGACTGCCTGTTCCTAGCAGTTGAATATTTACCATTTCCAGATAAGCGGCATGTCAAGGGTAAATTGTTAACTCTTTTCAGCAGTTGAACGTTGGGAGCATGGACTCTGAAGTCCGTCCTGCCCCACCGGTTTGTGACCTTGGGCAAGATGGTTAATCTCTCTGTGCTTCATTTTCCTTATCTGCAAAATGGGTGTAATGACAGTACCTACCTCCTAGGATTGGTGGGAGAACTGATGAGATGATAATAGGTGAAGGGCTTGGAGCAGTGGCAGGCCCATGGTAAGTGCTTAATAAATGTTTGCTGCTAGGGCTATTTAGTAAGTAATCTTAGGAGTTTATCTTGGCATGATGAATATGTTGGAAGTGCACAGACCAGAATATGTGAAATCACATTGTACATCGTTAGTGCTTGGGGTTTTTTTTTTTTTTTTAACTGCATTTTGTTAGTTGTACAGAATGAAAATAAGAGATTTAGATGATAAATGGACAGGCACTCTTGAGATAATGGCATTTGGAAATTTATATAGTAAGGGATTTGGATAGGTCTTGTGGGGTCTGGAATTTAAAAAATCAAAGTGATTAAATGAAGTTTCCTTTTAGCACTTTTACATTTATGGATCAGTTAGCTTCCAAGGACTTGGCGTTAACTAACCTGGAAAAGTGGAACCGTGAATCCCTTTGAGTGTTAGGTGTCTCTGGTGTTACCACCTCTTTTAGACATAAGGGCAGAGCAAAGTGTAGTGTTGTGATAAATGGTCTGATAATTTTATCAGGGAGTTACTGGCTCAAATTGTGGAGGAGAGGGTATTGATTAGCTTTTAGGAGAACTTTGTGACAAGTAGATTTTTGAGACAAAGTGCATTATACAAATTGTGTAATTTTTCATTCTTGAAATTACAGAAACTTGTGCTCTGAAATGGTTAGTTGCAACCCTAAAGTTTGCTTAGCCAAAATCTTTTCTTTAGATATAGAATTGGTGCAAATGCTCCCTGTTGGCATCTTTCCAGCATAATTCAGTAACATTTATTAATATTTTAAACAAGTAGGGTATAATTAATAGATACGGAACTTTTCATGGTAAGTATTCCACAAACTACAAATTCAGAAATTTAATTCGGGCGCCTGGGTGGCTCAGATGGTTAAGCGTCTGCCTTCGGCTCAGGTCATGATCTCAGGGTCCTGGGATCGAGTCCCACATCGGGCTTCCTGCTCCTTGGGAGCCTGCTTCTCCCTCTGCCTCTCTCTCTCTCTGTCTCTCATGAATAAATAAATAAAATCTTTAAAAAAAAAAAAAAGAAATTTAATTCACTATAGCTTAATATCTGTTCCCTCTGAGCTTTGGGAAGTTCTTATAAAATTGATGTAGAGCAGTATTCTTTAATATCTAATTGAAGGAATGTTATAATTAGGCTAAAACTAATTGGAGTGGGGCGCCTGGGTGGCTCATTCATTAAGCGTCTGCCTTCGGCTCAGGTCATGATCCCGGGGTCCTGGGATCGAGCAAGCCCCTCGTCAAGCCCCTCATGGGGCTCCCTGCTCGGCAGGGAGCCTGCTTCTTCCTCTCCCACTCCCCCTACGTGTGTTCCCTCTATCACTGTGTCTCTTTCTGTCAAATAAATAAAATCTTTAAAAAATAAAATAAAATAAAACTAATTGGAGTTATAAAGAAAATACCTAGCTATGACAGCAATGACATAATGTGAAGACTGGGACTTTATTTTTAGTATATACGGTGTTTTGAAAACAAGTTTTATATAATGAGAGCAACAGTAAGTTTAGTAACACTGCAAAGTGACCCCTTAAATTGTGTTTTAAAGCTGCTGATTTATTCAGTTTCCAAAGATTGTAGGTTTTTCTTTATATGTTTAAAGAGATGTTACAGACTTTTGGCTGTAATTATGGAATTTCCATACACTGTAAATGTTTAAGTTCTGAATATTTTTCGTATACACCCCCCCCTACAAAGCCGAAACCAATATATGAAAACCTCAGACTTCCCATCCCTCTCTGCCTCCCTTCTTCCCCCAAGAAACAACTGGGGATAAATTTTCCTCTTTTATAATAGTAAGATCCTTAATAATTTCTTTTAAATAGTGGTTTTTCTAAAGCACTCTAAATTATTTGGTTTTCCGTGGCTATAATTATTAGATCATCTGATGCACAAGGGCAAGAATTGTGTTTTGTATTCCTATATCCTCAGTGCCTAACACTCAATACATACTTGTTTCCTGACCTACTGCTATCTATAATCCTGATAACACTCTAGACACATGTATTGTCTTGCCTGCAGGTAATTTTTTTTAAATGAATTTATTTTTTAGAGCAGTTTTAGATTCAGTAGGAAGATTGAATAGAAGGTACGGAGATTTCCCATATTCACCCTGCCCCCAGTCATGCATAGCTCCCCCATTGTCAGTAGTTCTCCACCAGAGTAGTACATTTGTTACAGTTTGATGTACCTGCATTGACACATCATTATCACCCAAAGTCCCTGGTTTACATAATGGTTCAGTCTTGGTGTTCTGCATTAGGAATTCTGACAAATGCATGATGAATGCTATATGTCCACCATTATAGTGTACAGAAGAACAGCTTCATTGCCCTGAAAGTCCTCTGTGCTGCACCTATTCATTCCTCCTTCCCCCAAACGTCTGGCAAGCTCTGATCTTTTTACGGTGTCCATAGTTTTGCCAGTTCCAGAATGTCATATAATTGGAATCATATAGCATGTAGCCTTTTCAGATTGGCTTCTTTCACTTAGTAACATTCATTGAAGGTTCTTCCGTGTCTTTTCATGGCTTGGTAGCTCAGTTCTTTTTAGCGCTAAATAGTATTCACTGTCTGGTTATACCAGTTTATTTATCCACTCACCTACCAGAGGACAGCATCTTGGTTGCTTCCAAATTTTGGCAGTTATGAATGAAGCTGCTGTAAACACCTGTGTGTAGGTTTTTGTGTGGACATGTTTTCAAATCCTCTGGGTAAATACTGAGCAGCATGATTGCTAGATCTTATGGTAAGAGTATGTTTGGTTTTGTAAGAAACTGCCAAACTGCCTTTTATAGTGACTGTACCGTTTTGCATTTCCACCAGCAATGAATGAGCGTTCCTGTTGCTCCACATGCCCACCAGCATTTGGTGGGGTCAGTGTTCTAGATTTTGGCCATTCCGATAGATAATGTAGTGGTATCTTCTTGTTTTAATTTGCGTTTCCCTGATGACAGATGATGTGGAGCACCTTTTCATATGCCCCTTTGCCATCTGTGTATCTTTGGCTAGGTGTCTCTTAAGGTTTAAGTTGGGTTGTTAGTTTTATTGTTGAGTTTCAAGAGTTCTTTGTATATTTTGGATAACAGTCCTTTATCAGATAAATCTTTTGCAAATATTTTCTCCCAATCTGTGGTTTGTCTTCTCATTCTAATGACAGTGTCTGTCCCTTCAGGTCATTTGCCACTTTTATGTATCAGGGTATTTAAGATTTACATGTTGAAAACTAAAACCTTTATTATTTCCAACTGTCCAAGGCTCTTACCCCTATTTTCAGTTGATCACTGGGTCCTGATTTTGCTGCCATCTGGTTATCTCAAGTTTTGTATTGCTTCTCTCTCACTCATTTTCACATTTACATTCAAGCCTTCTGCCTTCTAAGTAGTCTGTCTGCTTTTGGTCTCTGCCTCCGCCCTTCAGTTCTTCCTATTGTAGTTGGAGGGAGCTTTCTAATGTAGGCAACATACAAGAACTTCAGTATAAACTACAGAGTTCCTTGATATGGATAGTAAGTACACAGCCATTTTCAGTTATGTACCTGTAAGTGCCTATATACACTATATTTTCTCTCTTCCAGCTAAGCTCTATAATCTCAGTCTGGACATCATTTAGCTAAGACACTGTTTCTGGACTTCCCATCTCGAATTGGGTGTCATCTCTCTGTGTTCCCATAGCATGCTTGACCCCACTCTAACAGGTATCCCCCTGAACTGTAATTTTTCTGTACTGCTTTGCCTCCGCAGTCTCTGT